TTACATGTGATCTTGTATTTATGCTTGTACATGTATAGAATTCATAGAGGCAATGGATTTTACTTGGATAAACCTTTACACAGGCAATTGTTATTGATCAATGTCCAAAGCTTATTTCTCTTGTTACTTAACTCTTACATCTTATAGCTCAAATCTCAAAAGAAATATACAAAATTTGGAGAAGAATGTTGTTACTTAACTCTTACATCTTATAGCTAGTAAGTTTACTTTTCAACCATAGTGGTTGAAATATAAAACCGTATTCTTATCCCAGTTATATTTTGTGTCATAGTGTGTTGGTTGAGTGGGTTTAAGAAATATAACCATTTTCATTGAGCTTTTTGATAGATAGATATTAAATATATCAAATTCCAAATTTCATGTTTGTGATGTCACATTTGGACAATTTGTTGGTAACTTGAAGCAAGTGGCAGCTGTTTTCCCCCTAAGCTATATGTTGTTCTATGTGCTTATAGTCACAAGCCAGATACACAACATATATTTGTAGATATTGGGCTGGGGTTTCATGTAGAGTTCACTTGGTCTGAAGCCTTGCAATTTATATCAATAAAGGAAGAAAGATTAGCTAGGTATACATATTGTTCTTTTTTGTTGGATTGCTTGATGATATGCCACTTATAAAAAAAATGATGAAATAACCTTATCAAAATTGAAGAAAGAGGAGGAATAAATAACTTTTTTCAATTAAATGGAGGAATTGAATAATAATAAGACTAGCCAAATCATAATCCATGCTTAAAGATCTAGATTTCTAGATTAGATGCAACTCTTAGTTGGAGTTTTGTGCTTTTACATGGATATGCATCTAAGCARTCAGGGATAGTAGTACAAGGGCTTCAAACTTTCAAAACCTTTTATAGAAATTTAAGCCATGGTATAAACCTCAAGGAGTTTTTACATTCTACAGAAATTTAAGAGATCATGAGGTCATAGATGTTGCTAATTTTTTGAATGATTTATCAAGTCTTAATTGATTCACTTTTCCTATCATAATTGCTATGAGTTAATTTCCTTATTATTGAAGAATCATTTACTGAACGAAGAAGCCATCAGAATTGGATGCAGAATTCATGAAATAGAAAACAAGACAAAAAATACAAAAAAAAAAAATAGTGGCTGGAGTTGTTTTGATACGAGATGCTAATGCTATCTAGAAATTCAAAATTTAAGCAAATACTTACAATGATTGACCGAGTAGATCTTCTACAACAAGAATTGTTTTCTTTGTTATGATTCTGAAAACTCTACTTATCACAATTGATCTAAAAAAACAAAATACCAGATCCAAGAAATCTAGAAACAAAAAATCAAAAGAAAAAAAAAACAATGAAATAATAATAAAAGAGGAACAATAAGATGAGAAGCAACATTTTTTGAATAAGATGAAAAAAATAAGATGCATTATGTGCATCCCGGTGGAACAACGACAAGAGGAATAGCGATTCTTATTGATGAATCAATTTTTTGTGCTAAGTACCTCGTCATTTGGTCTACTTCCAAGTGGTTGATGACTCATGCCAAAGTGAACTTTTGTTCAATGAGGACCTGGACGCCGACCTGGGGGTAGATTAGGTGCTGAGTTAACTGGGCCGAGCTGGGCATGTTAGGTCCCGAACTGACTGGGTCGAGCTAGGCAGGTTAGGTGACGAGCTTACCAAAGTGCCGAGCTGACCAGAGGGCCGAGCTGCCTATTAGTTGTCAAGCTGACCAGAGGGTCGAGTTGTCTATTAGTTGCCGAGCTAACCAGAGGGTCAAGCTGCCTGGTGGCGAGTTGGATTGATTGTTGAGCTTTGTAGTTCTTTAGAGACCTGCAACGAATCAATGTCAGAGGACCCGGGGTGGCTAACTCGGCGAGGTCGCTCCGATGCTTAAGTCAGTACTCTCATAGTAGACTACGAGCTAAAAATCACAAAGTATGAGAACTAGAATATGCTTACTTGCCCCCTCCCCCCCCAATGCCATTGGGGTTGGTGCCTTTATATATGCATTGTTTGGCGTGGGCTTCACGCACCGCATCCGAGATTTCCGAGAAGTCATCTAAGTGGTCTGAGATTCCCTGAGGCAACCGCCATACACGTTGACCACCCTCCGGATCGTTCGGCACGTGGACCAACTTCCAAGGATTGGAGTGTTAGGATATGCATGCCAAATTTGTTGGCGAGCACGTCTCGCAGGTCGCCAAGTCGGCGCCTGTGCCAGGTCGCCAGGTTGCGCCTGGGCCAGACCACCAGGTGGGACACCATCAACTTGGCTAAGGCAAGTTATTGCCTAAGTGGTTCCGGGTGTCACCTAATTGTTTTGAGGTGCCATGTGTCACAATATCATTGGAGGGCCAAATCCGCCCTCATCACTTACCATTTCAATGGAGGAAAAAGCGATGACCAGCGACAACAACTAGATGGAATGGCGACAACAATTGGGAGGATCAATGGTGCCAGCAACAGAGGGAGGATGAGGATGACATATTGTATGAGGATAAACTCTTCAGCATTTACGATGACTTGATGGAGCAGCAGCAATGACTAGATCAAGCAGGGCAGCAACCGAAAAATCAATGACAGAGAAGCAAAAAGTTGAGGAGGATAATCGCAGAGGTGATTTTTGGGAGAAGTAGAATGAAGTGGAGGAGAAACGCATAGGTGATTTTTCGGAGAAGTAGAACTCAGAGATACACTCTCGAACTTTTATATGTTATGGAGGCAATCTCGAGATTTCCAATTTTTATCAGCTTACCCTCCACTCGGGAAATCAACTTACCTGAGCCTCGCAAGGGTATCATTTACCCAGCGAAGTGATACCTGTGAAAATCAAACTTACCTTGGTACACTTGTTTTGAAATCCGAACATAGGTAAATTGGTCAAATCCCATTGCTAAACTCCCCCCCCCCATTACTTCACGAAAAACGAACACGCTCTTAGAAGAATAGGAGGCCCAATCCATTTCCTAATGGAATGACAATGCATCTTCTATAGGCGAGGCCAAAAATAAAATAACAAAACTTGAGCATTTAAGGCCATGTCTAGTTCAATTCTCATTCTTATTCAAGATGAAATTCCAAAATGGACAAGAATGGGTAAAAATAGGCAGAATGAGAAAATATTGCTATAAACTAAATGCTTTCTTCCTAAAAATGAAATCTTTTTAGACTGTCAAGTGTCCTATGTAAAAGTACTTTCATAAAAGTGCTTTTATAACAATACTTTTGTAAAAGTGATTTCATAAAAATATTTTGATAAAAGTACTTTTATAAAAATGCTTTTATAAAAGTACAAATACTTTTTGTAAAAGTACCTTTGTAAACGTGCTTTTATAATAGTACTTTTGTAAAAGTACTTTTAAAAAAATTCTTTCATAAAAATACTTTTAAAAGTGCTTTCATAAAGTACTTTAATAAAAGTATTTGCCCGGTAGTGCACTATTAAACATCTATTTAGGCATATTTTCCTCAAAGAATGAAAATGTGCAAGATGGGGCATAATTATTTTTCATGCTGCATGTGACCTCAATTTTTGTGCTATGCATTGATTTTTCATTCTAAACAGAATGTGGCACATAGCAAGAATTTTGTAACCAAACATTGTAATGTTATTCATTCTTTCTCATCCTTACTTAGAATGAACAAGAATTAAAAGAATGAAACCCAAAGCAATGAACCAAACATGGCCTAAGTTATTAGCTCTGATACTTTATAAAGTTAGAGTCCATTTGATTTACAGTTGGAATTGAAACCGGAATTCATTAGAATCAGAATGGGAATGGTCCATACCCATAATCTGATTGGTTCATATGGGAATTGAAATAGAATTTGGCATCAGTTGGAATGGGATCTAATTCTTAATTCCCAACGGAGGGGACGAAGGTATGGTCATTCCTCAAATGGGGCCAGGAATGTCATTCCACCTGGAATGAGAATGGGATTCTGATTCTGAGAACCAAATGGGCCTTTATTACTTTTTTTGGCTTGACAAACTTGATAGCAGCAGATGGAGAGGGTGATGATTGTGTTTTTAAGTTCATATTGCAACCCAGAAGTCGGTAAAACAAAATGAGGCAGAACCTTTTTTTCTGTTAAGTCCAGAGAGAATGGGAAATCCATCGTATCCATACAAGATAATATTCTTTTATCATCATCATCATCTCTTTACACAAGAAATTGTTTAGCAATGTTGCACAGGCATCCTAAACACATGAGACTGAATAAGTGGGTTTAGACAACTCAAATCCAAACCAACCCACGAAAACAGTTTCACTAAAACGCAGAGAGAGAGGAAATTCGAATTCATCAATAAAGGTCTGATATTCAGGGAATGAGTAGAGAGTGTAGAAACCAGGATACAATTGAGTGATCGTCTGACGGAGATAAAAATGAAATCAGTCTTTCAGTTATTGGTACTTGGTGGATTTTCCACGAACCAAAAGTATTTCTGTCGTTGTTCTTTGTTTATAGGGTTTTCGGTGTTAGTCATTGTCAAAGTATTATCAAGGGGCAAAATTGGATTTTGAAAAAAAAAAATTGCAACATGTCATGTGATAACGGATCTTGATGGATTGGACTGACTCAGATCTAGAATTTGTGGCTCAGACCTGACCTATATACCCATTATCATATGCGCCAGCCCAGCCCGCTCAGGCCCAATAAATACTTAGCTTTCTTTCGTTATGAGTGAAGTCAACTGTCGGAGCATCCTCCTGTGCATAACAACATATAAGAGGATGAGATATTCTTTATATGTGGCTGCGATATTATGTGGGGAGGTGTTGTATAATTGTCGTGTGCAGTCGCCTGTAAGGTATGGAAGGAGTGGCTATCGCGTGAGAACGCTCCGGAAGCCACAACGTGTTTGGCAAGTCGTCCTAAGTGACGGGTCAAAATCCGATTCTGTGCATTGCCGTTGAACCGCTACGTCTACGTGGAGAATTCAAAGTCATTTTAGGCCGTCTTGATCTTGCTGGGCGACTCGTCCAGGAGACACTTGTCTTTCTATCTGTACTTTATTAAAAGAGAAAAGCTCAGCAGAAGCAGAACTTGACGACCCAAATACCATCTTCAGCGATTGGCGTCTCAGATCACTGTAAGATTGGTTTTTTTTAATTTTTTCTCTCTTTCCTTCACTTTCTGCAACTTAGTATTTGATGAACCTTTCATGATTTAATTTGTTTTTTCCTATTGTTTTATCTTTCTCGCTTATTCGATCCAATACTTTCTTTCTCCATCTTGTTGTGCTATTTGCAAGTTCAATTTTTCTAGCGACCAACGTACACAGAGGCTCTCTGTTTGGATGATGTTATTATATTTGTCACTAAGGCTCCGTTTGAAAGGAGTAGAAATACAAATTTGTAGATTACAAAATCTTGTATTTTGTATTATTTTATATGTACTTATATTTGTACTCCTTCCAAATTGAGCCTAATAAAAAGAAACCATATGATGTTTAATGTTCGAAGAGATTGTTTTGATCAATTATCATAACATTTATGTTTGATGTAAAGATAAATCTTCATTAATGGAAGTTGTAGCTGTGGGAATAGAGAACTAGACTCCTTTTTTCGGTGGAAAAGGACATTTATCTTCTCAGAGGAGTCCTGATCTGCTCCTCACACGGTGTGAGGCATGCTCTGTAAGGAGCAGATCCCAATTCTTTTCACAGAGGCTCTTGTTCACTTGGGTTTCATGATCACCAACATTTTGTGAGAATGGGAACGAAAGCGAAAACCTATTAATCAAGTGGTCTAGCGTTAAATCCTAGTTCTTCCAAAATGAGATGGTATCAAATCCTAGAGCCTGTTTGATCAAGGGGTCTAATGTTTCGTCTTCATCATCTTCATTATAAATAATTAAATTTCAGCACAAGATATGAGTGGGGCTGTGGGCTTTCGGGTGAGAAGCCTATTCAGGGACCTCATCTAAAAGCTTAGGTTGAATGGTTCCTTTGAGACCAATGCTCAGTTATTCTGGTTTCTTTCTTACTTCATCATGTTTTCTTTTCCTCCTCCTGTTATGGTAATTTTTGGCATATGAGCGTTTGCTGCAGTTTTTGCTTCATGAGAGGTTATAACATACATGGAATATGCTAAATTGGCATTAGCATTCTATGCAGTTTAACCATGGCAGCAAAATACATTGTTGGTGCTGTATTGGGAACTTTTGGCTTTGCATATGTGATGGATAATTTGATTTCTGACCAGAAGCTATTTGGAGGTAAATTGTAAGAATCTTGTTCATCCTTGCTTTAGTCCTTTTGGTCTGAGCAACTCTGTGACAGAATTGCTGCTTAAATCAGGAAAGACACCTAAAACGGTTGCAAATAAGGAATGGTATGATGAAACTGATAAGAAGTTCCAGGCATGGCCTCGTACCGCCGGACCACCAGTGATGATGAATCCTATCAGTCGCCAGAATTTTATTATCAAGTCCCATTCTGAATCTTGAAGAGGCTATCAGTTCTCGGCTTGTTTCCTTTGATTTAGCCACATAGCAGTTCATTGATCTTCAAGATTAGTTTCACATGGATTTACAGGCAATGGTTGTAAATGGAGTTCAGCCACTTCTACCATTGTAGATTTTTGAACAAGGAATTGTTACATAATTTCATGGATATTTTTTTTAATCAAATAATTGTCATGGCAGTAATATGAACACATAATGTGGGAATTCACTAAGCTGTTTGCCATGAAGTTAATTTTTCTGTGTTTGAACTGCTGGAAATTCATATAGAGTGTAGCCGTGTCCGCAAAACCACATAAATAATGGTGAAAACATGGATGCTTTCAATCATCTACAAATGAAATGAAAGACCAGGATTCTAATGTCACAAGATTATTTATCATCTCATCGCAATTATCAATCATTAAGCGTCTGTTTGGAACCGTTGCTGTTTCTCCAGAAAACAGCGCCACATCAGCGCCACGTAGGAAAAAACGTTGCTGCAGAAAACAGTCATATGTTTGGAATCGTTTTTCCATAGAAAACGATGCTCCAAGCCATGCCTTCCACCAAATTTGGCATTTTTTGGAGTTGCAGCTCGTTGCTGCCAACAGCACAGTGATGTGGCAGTGGATAATGGGTAGAAGTGCAGAAAACGTTCCCTAGAGCATTGGTATCAAACAGAAAAAGTTGTCGCTCCAGGAAACGTCCTGCCTGGCAGCAATGATTCTAAACAAAAAAGACACTATTTTCTGAGAAAACGGTGCTCCAAGCCACACATTAGCAGCACCGTTTCTTCAGCATCAATGCCAAACATATACTAAACATTTCCTTCCAGGACTATATATCACATGATTAGTTACTGTCCAGATGATCAATTTAGCACTGTTTGTTTGTTGGTATTTAGCGGGGTAAGATTGGTCAACCAGTAAATTGATCACATTGGTTCCCACTATATCTTGCAAGGTGGGCCGCTTATATTTTCCTCTTACTCCTTTTTTCTTTCTTTACTTAGAGAATACTTGCTCAGGTAAATGTACTCACTCAAGTAAGTAAACAAATGGGGCATTTGCGTTATTCAAGCTAATTAAAGGGTAATCACATATAGGTACCCTGTACTTTGGGGATGGTGGCAGACAGTTGGGTTCATCTGTTAGTACTCCAGTCAAATATATCCTTCTCATGTATTTTTGGGATCATTCTAATGTGACCGAACTTCCCCACAATCATGTTCTCACATGGACAACAAATAATATATTCAAATTTTCTGACGATGACATTCACTGGTGATGCGTTTACATTGTAGAATGATCTTGAAAAAACACAAAAAAAAAAGATATTTTTTACATTATGTAAGGTTTAACTGATGAATACTAATAGATGGATCCAAGTGCCTATTTTTTAAAAATGCACTCAAATATTGTAATTGAAAGTTTAGGATACYTATCTGTAATTTGCCCTAAATAAAACAAAAATATTAGTGTTATTCAGTGATGGCATATTGGATAGGAAATCAAGGTGGGAATCATTTCTCACTTCTGACGTGGAATAAGTTTTGCAATGTCAATGGTTTTAATATTCTCATTTAGCCAAAATCTTTGTAGCCTCTGTTGGAAAGCTCAGTATTATAGAAGACAGCCATGGAAGAGTTCATCCAAGTTAGATACATAACACTGCAATATTCATTTTTACATTCTTTTTTCTGCATCCTAGTGGGTAGGTTAATGTTTTGAACCTTTTAATCACAGGTTGTAGAAGTTGATTTCCCAAGACTATGATGAAGCAATTGGAAGCATCTTCACAAAGGATCATAACATTTTTTGTTGAGATTATTTTCTACTATTTTTGGGTAAATGTGTTTGTTGCTTTTGTTTATTTTATTAAATAAATCTTTATACTTGATTTGTTATCAAAACTAAGAAAAAGTGATTGATAAATGTTTTTGTAGGATTTATTCACAATTAAACTCCACTAAATTAATGGAATAATTACACTTTTGCGTTAAAGGAACATTAAATTGAAACTTCTCCCAATAGTTGTTGACTTAGGATTCGTTTGACACATCTTTTTGAGAAGACTTTCTTGTATCTCTGACAGTCAAAAGACGTCAGAGTCATTTGGCGAATAGATCTTCCGTGCATTTGTCCGCATCTTTCCGTGTGAAGTTAAAACACAAAAGACATGGGAAACTTTATTTGAAAYTTCCCAAAATCAGCCCGAAATGGGATGTTTATGTCTTTTCAACAGAGTCTTTTGGCGAATAGATCTTCCGCAAGCCAAACGTGAATAGACCAAAAATCAGTCTTCCCAACTTGTAAAAAAGACCACGTAAAAAAATAAGCCAAACAGGCCACTATTAGGGCATCTTACTTTTGGCAGCTGATTTGGAAATTACTGCCAAACCATCACTTAAAGAGAAGAATTTATCAATACATGAGCATACAAAATAGTATGATGGAGCAAATGCTGATACAAAATAGTATCAATACATATGCATACAAAAGAATTTATCAGTTTTCCAGTTGAACTAGAGAAACGCCACAAAAGTATTAGGGCCTCTTCCTTTTGGCAGCTGACTCGTTTCTCTTAACAAGATGAAAAACAAAAGCACCTTTCTCTTAATAAGATGAAATTACTCACCAATAATTTCACAACTATTCAGTTATTCTTGATCAAATGATTAAGCGACGACACCCATAATGGAATTAATTGCATATAGAGGCAAATATGCATATTGCTCAAAGAAAAGCAATTTTTGGTTCCAAAGGTACAAACATCCTTTCACCAAATTTCAGTTAAAACCTAATATAACAGTTGTTAAGAATTAAGAAGAAATGTCAATTTCCCTTGACTTTCCTTCCAGTTAGAGGAGAATCCCAACCTTAATTAATCTTCATCCTCGTTGAAATCAGAATCATCTGCAGCAGCATCATCATCATCATCGGACTCTGATTCGCTGCTAATCACATACTTTGCCTTCCCCCTGTTCACCCTCTGTGGCCTTGGCCTTGCGGGCACCACTTCACTCAGTTCTGCAGAATCAGTGGAAGCAGAAGAGGTTCCTGTCTGTTGTTCTTCGCTTCCCATGGGAGAAATGTCTCCAACCATTCCACCGACTCTTCCCAGCACGGAACCGCTCTTCTTGTTGAACGGGGAGGCCCTCATCTTCCTCACTTTCTTCTCCGGCGACACCCCGGCATTTTCAGCGGGCTTCAGCAGGTCTGTTATTTTCTTCTGGCCCAAAACGGACGTCTGCTTGTTCGCTGCTCCTCTCTTCTTAGTTGAAGCTGCCGCCTTGCCATTTGCAGCTGGTTTTCTCCCTCCTCTCCCTCCTTTGGGGGCTTCTTCCACCTCCGGCTCAAAATCTTCGTCACTGACAATCTCTCCTATACTTTCTTCTCGTATGGTCTGTACGTCCATGCCATCATCATCATCTGAGATCTCTGTGTAGCTTGAAGGTTGCTTCTGTGCAGCAGCTCTTTTGCTTGGTTCTTTCTTCTTTGCTGGTACTTTGGCCACTTCAGTTTCCATTACTGCCAAGGAAGAAACCAAACAACATCAGCAAATTAACACAGAACACAAAACCAGTGGACGATCATTATATAAAAGATAATGCGATGAAAATAAGATACCTGCCGATTGCTCAGGTGAAGAATCTAAATTATATGCGGCAAGTCTTTCTTTAAGCTCGATCACATCTACGTCGTCCTCATCACTGTCAACTAGTCTCATATTGTCCTGCTGGAAGGCATACACAAAAAACAGTATTTATAAACAGACCGAGGATTAAAAGACCGAGAAGCTCTTGGGATTATTAAAAGAATTCAAATAAACAAACCTTCTTAGCAGGAGCTTTTTTCGGACGTCCTCCTCTGCCTTTGGGTTTCACCACCTCTGGAACTGTTAGCATCGGAAAAGATGATAACTCAGCAATGCTAATAATATACTTAGATTGATACACATTGTGGCAAAACACCCTCGATTTGGGCATACCTGTCTCCATTGCAGAACCTACTGACGATGCTGCTACAGACTCAGTCACAGTCTCCGAAGTGCTGGGCTTCTTTGCATTCGTCTTTCTTGGGTTTTTGGGTGCCTGTCTGGAAGCCTTCATACCAGCTTCACTCATGACCCTGTTTTTCAATTCCTTTCTTGCTTCCTCTGCTTGGGCGTCATTCTTGTCTTGTTCCTAAATTATTAAGGGAAAAAAAAAATTAGACAAATGACATCCATGATCAATAGAGATAGTCTCAAAGTGGCAAACATTTCARGACATACATCGAGCTCCTTCTCTAGTGCATCGAGATCATTCATCCACAAAGAATTTGGAGTTGCCTTTCTCAGTTCCTCAACTTCATGGTTGAGCTTATCCCTGTCAGAACAGAGCTCTTGAACCTTCTCCAGTGTCAGGGTTCCAATTGCCATTGATAGCAGATATTCATAATCACTAGCCCGCACACCTCTGCTGCTGACAACCTCTGAATTTTCTTCATTTTCTTCTCCATCTTCATTGGCACCAGCTACTGCAGCTTCAAGAGCCTTAGTTTTCTTTGGGAATGGAGTGAATCCTTTCTGCTGCAGCTCAAGGAACAAATCGACTCTCTTCCTGTTGCTGACAATGATCTCTCCTTTCACAACTCCAAGTATGAACCTGACCTTGTTATCCAGTTTAAGTAGATCTAATTCAAGATTGTCCAATTGTGTTTTCTGCAAGAGTTTTTATTTTGGAATCAGGAATCAACGATATTTCTTTCAAAAAGTAACAAAGAAACAGAAGAAAAAAGTGCTGCCAAACATACCTTCCTCTTCTCGTAGAATTCAAGCCTCAAATGAAAGAACTCCTCAAGAACTGCAAACATATAAAAGAGAAAATGCATGTCATAATGAGAATGCATAAACGTGACTTAAGAAAAACTGGGGAACAATAATATATTAAGATTCTTACTTTGTTCTGGATTGTCATATTTCTTTATTGTGCCTTTCGGATCAAACAAGTGCATGTTGCTTGTACTGATTGTAGTGGTTAGCTTGAATTTCTTCATCAAACCCTCTTGCTTGGCCATCATCAAGTTCTCCTCAGACAAGATAATTTCGAAGTGTACTGTTGTGTCATCATTGTGCTCCTTATAATCCTGAAAGCAGTAAAGCTCACCTTGAGCATGACTCTCTTCATGCAATACCCATTAATTAATACTGGGAAATTATGTCGGAACTTTACCTTGATAAATGGCTCCTTGATTTTATCATTCCCTGTCATTATTGACTCCAGGAACTCTTTATAATCCTGAGTCCACCTACGAATTGGTAACTCTGTAATTCTGAGTGTTGTTTCATTGATTTCTTCTATGATCCCACTGACAGTGTAGCTCGACCCAGCTTCCTTTGTTGCTGTTTTCTCAATTAGTCCCTTGAAACCTTTGTACCAGGGGTCCATCGGCTCCATTGGTTCACCATTCAACAAGCGCTTTATATTTGCAACAATATCTCTTGGGTTATAGTTGGGAATATAGGAACTCCAACCAGTTCCAATTCCTTCACTTCCATTGACTAGAACCGTAGGTATAATCGGCATGTACCTGGATGTTAAGAAAAGAATTAACATTTAGATGATTCCTTCAATCTAAATTACCTAACCTCTTCAATCTAGAACCCTAGGCATAATTGGCATGTACTTGAATTTTAAAAAAGTAATAACATTTACAAGAAAACTTACCAAGTGGGTTCAATTGATTGCCCATCCTCATTCAAGTAGTCAAGGAGGATATCATCACCTTTGGGAAAGAGGAATCTTGTGATGGGAGATAGTCGAGTGTAGATATACCTTGCACTTGCATGGTCTTTGCCGCCCTGCGATGGACAAGAGATACTTCAGGAAACTAAAATGGAGGTTTTAACTTCAAGTTCATCTTTTCTAGTTTATACAAACCTGGTGCCGTGTTCCAAATTGTCCATTTGGTTGGAAAAGGTTTATGTTGTTACTGCCTACATAATCTTGTGCCATACCAATAATGGTACTCATGAGACTCTGTTCACCATGATGGTAAGCTGAATGCTCAGATACATAGCCAGAGAACTGAGCAACCTTGGCTTCTTTGATAAGGTTCCTCTTGAAAGCACAGAAAAGAATCTTCCTTTGGCCTGGTTTAAGGCCATCCACCATAGAGGGGATTGATCTTTGCAAATCCGCCATGGAAAACAATATAAGCTCCTTGTTGACAAAGTCACTGTACTTGATGAGCTTTTCCTTTTGATCAAGGCAAGTACCAGGCTGCAGAGCAAGAACCGAGAAAGCACCATCAGAAATTTTGTCTATGATATTATTTTCTTGTTGGCAACAGTTCACTAGTCTACCATTAAAAATTTTGAATTTCTCTCTGCAATTCCCCTACCTCAAATTGCCGGAGCCAGTTTTTCCTTGCTTCAATCTTCTTTTTACTGAATGCAAGCTCAATTGCATCTCCATCCCGGTCATCTACCCACAAAAAATCTTTCTTGTGCTTGTGAAGATCTTTGAAGTATTCCTTCCCTTCCTTTGATGTGCTTGTTCCCAACCCCTGTGGCCAGGGCCAAATATTGATTAGCACAACCAATAATATAGTCTATACTATGCTAAAGATAATCTAGTTGAACACTTCCCTCTTAATTTTCACAGACAAACCTTATAGTACTTGATACTCCATCCACTGGCATTTCCCCCCAAGYTTTTCCATGATTCATACTCAGGCATGGAATAGAAAGACAGGACCTTTCCATTTTTGTGAGTCGCCTGTACCAGAATTAAGAGTGTTGTACAGCATAAGTTATTTGCTCGTCTTCACCAAACACAATAACGTCAAGCCAAACCACCATAGTTAGTAAATGCTAACCTTCACAATAGGTGTTATGAACTCCACTAGAAAGGAAGGAATCTTGAGAAGAGATGGCCAGAATGAGTGGATAAAATTAATGAGTAGTCCCTTGATGTGAGATCCATCATGATCCTGCAACCACAAAGAATTAAGAGGCTTTATTATCCAAATGATAGCATGCAAAGCATGAAAAGAGCCATTCTCGATATGCAGTTGCAGACAAAGGAAAGAAGCTGGGAGATGTTAGGATCTAACCTGATCAGTCATTATCATCAAATGACCATATCTGAGTGACTTGACACTGTCATACTCCTTTCCATGCTGCAAACCAAGGATCTGTTTGATATTCTGGATTTCAGCATTATCCATGATCTGCTTGTGCGTTGCTTCCCTCACGTTCAGCAATTTGCCTCTCAATGGGAATACACCATAGTTGTTTCGTCCAACAACTGAGATTCCAGCCATCTGAAGATAGTCCACTCAGTACAAGCTTTCCACAAACCTAATTCAGTTAAATTCATCTTAAGATGAACTACGAGTTAACTTACTGCAAGAGCCTTGGCTGAATCTCCCTCTGTCAAGATTAAGGTACATTTTTCAGAGTTTCTTCCACCAGCATCATTAGCATCCTCGAGCTTAGTAATGCCTGTGATCCTCTGTCTCTTTGCTCCATCAGTTTTTTTAAGATCCTTGCTCTGCTTGAAATCTGCCCATGATAGTAGATTTTCCACTACTCCAGACTTGGCCACTGCAAGATAGATAGCATTAGCAACATGCATATTTTTTATGTTCCATATGATGCTGAATTCAATTGAGGGTCCAAACCTTTTTTAAGGAATTCCTGTGAGAGTTCACATTTTGATCCGAAACTGCTCTGACGAGTTGTCAATGTTTCTTTGGTCTGAGAATCAAAGGCAGGGTTGTCAATGAGAGAATTGACGAAGACCCATAAATGGTTTTTTACAGTATGGGCCTTGAGGTTGGCATTCTTGTTCTTCTTGTTAACTATTGTCATCACATGGTTCGTGATCTGGTTTGTAACATAGTCGACATGAGTCCCGCCCTTGATGGTTGCAATTCCATTCACAAAGCTGACCTGAGGGAAGTATAAATCCAGCCCATTCAAACGTGTAAATCCCAAAAGTCTAACTTCTAACAAACATAACTTCGTAAATAATCAACATTTGCATAATTACCTGTTGGAACTGCCCTTCACTCAGACTCACGCAGACCTCCCATCTTTCACTAACTTTCTCAGTGATCCTGATAGAAACGGAACCAGATTATTAAGTTTAATCTGAAAAAATAAGTGACAATTTAAGAGGGGTTGGTTCAGACTTTCTTGAAGACAAACCTTGGGAGAGGCTCTGGTCTGGATTTAGAGGCAGATTGAAGGTAGAGGTTGACATAATCAAGGAATGATTTCACTGGCACCCGCTGCCCATTTAACTCGACCTTGACCGTCTTACCAAGACATCCCGCTAAGTCAATGACACGCTTTTTCATCAGTGCGACCACATCATCTTCAAGATGGGTCAAGTTGAATTTAGCTAAGTCAGGCTTAAATGTAACTTTGGTCCAGTTCTCGCTCCCCTTGCATTTGGTTATGGCGGGCTCTGATTTCTTCCCCATGTTGTTAGAGAATACCTTCATGAAAAGAGAAAACCTTATGCAATTTTACAGACTAGAAATCCTTCTTATGAGTAAGATTTTGCTTTAAATCGTAAATGGGAAACCAAAGGCAGGAAGTAAAACAGGCATAAAGTCTGAGAGCAAGTAAGATGAATTTATCAAAAACAACCCTAGAACCGCTGGCGAATTCATCAGTAATGCCCCAACCAAGAAGTAAATCAAACACAGGCATAAAGCCTAAAATCATCAAGAGAAACACGAGACTAAACTCAAGAAACCAAGAAAATGAATCAAGAAAAACATTAGAAGTCAAGATCCAACAAATAATTTCTGAAACCACAAAAAACGTACCTGTTTGTACTTCTTTTGCCTCTTCCCATCGGCAGTCTCGATGATAAATTCGGTTGAAAAGATGTTGGTGAGCTTCGCACCATATCCGTTCCTCCCACCCGTCGTCTTCTTCACCGTATCGTCGTAGTTACTGCTGGTCAAGAGATGCCCAAAGATCAACTCCGGCACGTACACCCCTTCCTCCTGGTGGATCTCGACGGGGACACCATCCCCATTGTTGTACACACTGATACAGTTCTGTTCAGCGTCGATAACCACCTTGACGGAATCCATGGACGGGTCYCGCTGCTTGTTATCGGCGGCGTTGACGAGGATCTCATCGAAGATTTTGTAGAGGCCGGGAACGTAGGTGACGGGGCGGTGCACCATCTCACCACCGTCGTACACCCAGAGGGTCTGGGTATGCTTCTCGATGGATCCAACATAGGTGTCTGGCCGGAGGAGGATGTGCTCGAGTTGGGACTTCTTCTGGTAGGTTTCTTCGATGGTTTTGCCGGACCCTACCAAGGGTCGGGAGCTGGGGACATTGGCGATGTTGCTTGTCTGTAAGGGGAGCTTCCTTTCTAGGGCCATTGTGGTAGGGAGCTGGTGAGGAAGACACAGAGGTTGTGTCGGTGAGAGATGGAGGAGAGCGAAGAGGAGGAAATGAACGGAGAAATGCGGAGAGAAGAATCTTATACCAAGGACAGAGAGAGAAGAGGGTCTGCCTCTTAACTTCAAACGGTCAAGTTATCTGGATTTGAATTTGAACTAGGCGGGATATAAAAGGACGGTGGGGATGGATTGGGGGTGATCGGACGATTGTAGGATGGGCTTGAAAGTTGAAAGTTGAATCCGTGATGTACTAATGTTCATTTTTTATGGTTTTCACTTTTCATCGATAAAATCCCCTGAAGTTGCTGAATATTAAATAATAGACCAGTAATCCTGAATCCCGAGTTGATTGGGCAGCTGTAGCTGTAGCTCAGTCGACCGCGCTTAACTGACGATGTGTCTTTATGTAGTGCCCGTCTGGGAGGGCTTTCAGACAGCGGCTTTGGGCTTTACGAGGTGGTCGCCATGTGAAAAGGCTAGAAGCAAAGCCAAACTTGGTGAAATTTGGAAAGCCGAAATATATGCTTTTAACTCAGAGGTTGTTTGGAATTGGGGTAGGGATCTGCTACCAACATTACGCTATCAACACTGACCCAACAAGCCATTGCAGCCTCACATCGGGAACATCTTACATCTCCTTTATCATTCATGGAAAGATGCTCTAGATGTACGGCTGCAATGGTCAGTAGGGACAGGATTAATAGCGTGTGTTGGTAGCTGATTTGAACCCTCATGATGCCGTTTTTTAGAAAAATGGTGCCACATCAAATCCAGTTTGACATRGTCGTTTTTCTTTTAGAAATCGGCTATTTGGTTGATGCATTTTTTGAAAATCAACAATGCGTGCAGATTAAATCACAAAAGGGGTGATATGGAAAATGTTAAAAGCTTTGTTTCTTGTATCAGTCGACCATTGCCCCCTACTGTTCTATGATGTGGCACCTACAAGGATACGACATGCAATCCAATGTGGCAATAATTCAAACTGATATGGTGATTCGCATCGGATCCATAGTTTTGTAAGCCCAATGATGAATATACTCATGACCAAAAGTCCTTTGAGGGTTTCTTCATTATTTCTTAGGAGCTCACATCATATATGTATGCAACTGTGGTCATTTTTTCATTTAATGTTTGTACTTTATTTGTTTGTAAAATCGAGAAAGATAATAATTACAACCGTTTATGATAATTAGGTGCCACTAGGCACCATATCAGCATAACAATGCAAATACGCCTAACTGTTGGGGGAAGCTTTAAAAAATAACTTTTCCAAATGGTAAACGTGCATAGAAACCGAAGTCACCTTTTGTTATTCTCGATATGTACAGAAGAGTATGAGAGGGGAATTGTTGAAGTAACGTCTATGTAGCAACGTTTGTTGAATAAATGCCCATGGTTCCAAACATCTGAATCATCTGTCCCCTAGGGACAAAAATTTTCTGTCCCAACCAATCTAATCAGAATAGGTCGCCTTCACCATCTGAATTTGAAACTGATGGAAAAAAGACTCTAACAGCAAGATAGATGCCAAAAGTTATGAAAAACAATTAATCGAAGCTAAATATCCTCTCCGCTGCTCTTTCCCTCCCTCCCCACCACCACCCCCCATCACCCTCATGGACATCAAGAGCATGAGAAACCCTTCCACCACTGCCATATTGCCGTAAAAACCCTGCAACTGAGTAATTGCCATCTTGCTATTGAGCTGCAATGGAGCCGCATCAGAAGTTAAAGACGACCTTGCAACCCGAGCTCCATCGCCACTGCTGTAGCTTTAGTCAATTTCCTAAACCTTAGAGGTTGTTTAAGGAATTTGCCCAAATTCTATATGGACAATCATAACCTCAATGATAACCTCTTTGTTGTAATATATGACATTTAGATTGATAACAATATAACTMAAGTTGTCCACACTTCATTTCTTATAGATAAACACTATATTTAGTAAAAGAACAACTAAAGTGTAAAAGGAAAATCCTTAGGCCACATTTGTTTGAGGTGGAAAATTGAACCAGGGTAAACTTTACACCCTAGTTTGATTTTACACATGTTTGAAAAGAGTGTAATTTTATATCGTAAATCGGTGTAAAACTCATTTTTGAATTTTCTTTACACTGATAATCGATGTAAAATATACATCGAAATTAAGGATGTAAAACTAAAACTCATAGACTTCTATCATACTTTTCTCACCCTAACGTCTCTTTCTTCCTCTCTGTTTTAACCATCGTTTCTTCTCTCGTTGGTGCTGATGCGTCTTCGTCAAACATCCAGTATGAGATTTCGGCACCGGCGAAGCTTTTATTGGCATCGRTGATTTTGGCAACTGGGTGGGTGTCCTCTCCACCATTGACCCTTCAACCTTCCCAATAATAGAAATCCTCTTTGTCCCCAGCGGCAAAGCCCTCTCTCACCTCCCCAACTCTCTCCTTCCCGACTTCTACACACGAATGAAGTTGGCCTAAAACCGGATGCTGCAACTTGTTATAGTGGTGGATCTGAACCTAGGGCGACAGTGGAAAAACCCAATCTGATCTCCCACAATCGGATTTCTCTCTCTCTCTCTCTCTCTCTCTCTCTCTCCTTTTCTTTCTCTATTCCATTACTTGTAGAGGCAGATTTGAACCCACCTTCGACCTTTCTCTCTCCATCTATCTCTCTTTCTCTCTTCTCCTCCTTTTTCTTCTTCTTCTTCCTCTGCTTCCCTCCTCCTCTATTCTATTTTTTTGAATTGCTGAAATCACCCGAAGATACTATAGATCGTCTTCTCCTTCGAGACGAACGCAGAACGACAGTCCTTCCTCTTTCTTCACTTTGATCTTCACCTCCCTAAAACCATCACTTAAAATCTGTTTCGTTTTCTGAGCAAGTAGAACAGTGACCACGTGAAACTTCTCCTGATAGCACGATCCCCTATTGCAGCAACAAACTCAGGCCTATATTCGAGCAAAACCAGCGACGGCACGGCAACGCTCTCAGCACTCCCTATTCTATGTCGACTACAATAGCTCTCATCTCAGCTTTCATCTTCAACCTATTCTATGTCGACGCTCTCATTGAAAGCAATGTAGTACAATCTTTAACTATTGTGTTGACTACGGTAACTCCCATCTCACCGAATTTACACCTTGACAACCAAATATGGTCAGTGCAAATTTTCAAAATCTACCGGTCCCAATTTCCATCAACAACTAAACTGATTCACATTTCCCATCGGTGTAAAACTGAATATACACCTAAAACAAATGCAGCCTTAAGAAAAATCACTCGTTGCATAAAAAGTTAAAAAGTACATCGGTTTCTATGTTTGTAACAAGAGAAGTAAAGCCCTTATATGCTTTTTGGTTAGCATCTTGTGTCATTTGAGAAGTTAATGAATTAATAAAGCGTGAAGATGTACACTTAGGTCCTTAAATAAAGTATTCATTTGTATATTCTTCGGCATTAAGAAAATCTATGTATTCATTCTATATACAAGAGATGTGYAAGAAGCAAACAATAAAACAAAAATATAAGATTGTATAAATATAGATTTAATTTATATACTTAGAATATGACAACTCTATAGAAATCTATAACGATTAAGTTATGAAATGAAAACATAAGAGCATATAAATATATCAAAAAATATTTAATATCTTTATAGAAATCTATAACAATCAAGTTATAATGAGAAACACCATAATTAAATATCTTATTAGTGGATATTTTTTAAGAAAAAGAGTCAACTAAAAACTATACAATTAAAAAAAAAAACATTTCAATTGCATAAATTAGAAGAAAACCTTTCATTCATAGTTTTAATCAAGATGAATCCATAATTGAACACTTATTAAACATTAATAACAAGTAGATGAATTAATGCCCCTCTTTTACAATGGTAAGAGATTTTTCTTTCCTTTATAATAAATATAAAAGTTGTTCTTTTAAATGCAAAGAAAAAAAAATATTAATGAATAACTTGTTTGCATAATGAATATAAAATATACATCAGAAGCTAAGAAAATATGAAATGAAATAAATAACTTTACATGTAATATTTAAAAGTTCATTCTCCAAAGAAAACCATACAATTAGTTCAACATCATTCAATATAAAATAAGAGAAGTAAAATAAAAAATTCATACGACACAAATATCACTTCACCGTAGAATGTAACATTTGCTTACAAGATAATCCTAACACACTCCACCTATTTGTAAACATACCAATAAAGAACTCTCCTTCAAGGCTTTAAGCCTAAACAAAAAAAAACAAGGCTAAACCTAAAGTCCATTTCTGTGTCTATTTCATGTCTATCCTACACCTGAGAGTCGTTATTTGATATGGTATTTATGGGTTGCTCCCTTAATTTTCTAAGGCCCCGTTTGGTTTGCGAAAATAAGGGTCTGGAATTGAAATTAGAATCTCATTTCCATTCCTGCTAGAATAGCATTCTCCTCAAATGATCATTTCTTGTCCCTTCTGTGAGAATGAAATCCCATTTCTACTGCTTTTAATTCCCATTTCTATTCTTGTTTGAACCAAACAGATTCTGAGAATGGACCATTTCAATTTCGGTTCTGGAGGATTTCGATTCCAATTCCAACTACAAACCAAACGAACCCTAAGTTTTATTCTAATTTATTGATATATTCTTGGGATGGAAGAGCTATAATTGTTTGACATTATTCACTTGCTTCAAATTATAAGCAATGAACTTCATACTCAAGGGAATCTGATATCCATCCGTAAAGAGGGGTGCGATGGTAAATAGACCACAAAAATTTGTGCTTTGAACAATTGGGGTTTGCTCTAATCAGCCATCTTTTGAAATTGAAGGAGAAAAGAAATGGAAAATATAACAAATAATAGAATTTAACAAGGGTAAAAAATAAGGCAGAATTGTTAAGGGAATTAATTATTAATTATTCTAATTAATAAGGTAGTTCTAATGCACTATTGTTTGCGATGAAATTTCATTTGCACTGTGTTGCAAAAGTATGTGAGTGAAAATCAAGTGAATGCAAATTCTTTTTTTTTTTCAATTTTACTTTGTTTTGTTTGTTCACATTAGTGCAAATGAAACAAACAAACAGAATTG